AACAGACAAAACCGTGACAGAAGAGAAGCAGATGTACCTAGACGTTGGGGTGGAATATAAAGCCCCTCTTTCTGCTTTGCATACCAAGAACCTCCATCTGTCAGCGGTAGAGGGTTTCAGAGGTCACAATGAAGGGACGTCCAAAAATTACCTAACCAGCGTACAAAAGCTTAGAGAGAGCGAGAAGCAGATGGTTGTAGTTTCTGAGCCCATCCGGAACGCGAGGAGGGACACGGAGCTGGCGTTGCACCAGCCCTCGCTCCACACCTCCAAAAGCCTCCCCATCTGTCTGTCCCAGGCCTCGGGCAGGAGCACGCAGGGAGGTGCCACAGGCTTGGAGTGGTTTCCAGACTTACATCCTAATTATCACGGGCGGAGTATTTTTCCGGGGAAGCCTTTCCAAGAAGACGTGGGGATCACAACAAAGACACCAAAGGGCAATTTCTCAGAGGGACAGCAAGGTAATGTGAGAAATGAGTCTCTGCTGCCAAGATTTGCTGAACAGTCAGGCTAAAGGGTCTGATCTGAACGGGAGAGGAAGGGTAGGAAACGCGAAGCTGCTGGGCTCGTCCAGAAAGGGATCCTGGAAGGATCTAAGGAAGTTAACTCTCCAACCCTCCAGCCTGCAAAACCAGTGTTCTCCATGTCTATTTGAGCTTAAGACAAATTCTTTTGTGTTTGGGCTGGTGGAACCAGCTCGCTCTGTGGGAGAGAGCATTTCCTTGGCAGTCAGTCCCAAGCCCCTCGCAGCTCTCCCAGATACCACCCACGCGTGTTGTTGCCCTCGCAGTCTTACCTTTGACCCCTGTGACTTCTCATCGTGCAGGTCCCCTCTCGGAAAGGCGTCTGATGGACGTGAGGCTGGGCGAGCTGCCCACCTGGCTGGCCACCTGCGACTTCTCTCCCCAAGGGCTGCTTGGAGGAGTGCAGAAAGGTGAGGCTGAATTCCTGGCTCTTGGGGTAGGATTGTCCTGATTCGCTTGCTGCAGCCTGGTCTGAGTGACCAGTCTGGATCTTTATAAAGAAATAAATAAATAGACTCAGGCATTTGGCTTTGGAAATTTACATAGAAAATAGTGACCTTCTAAGACTTGTGCATGATTTGACCCTTGCATTTCTGTTCCAACAGCCTGGAGCAGCTATTACGACAAGTACATCAACGTGAAGAGGGGCGGACCAGCTGGAGTCTCCATGCTGCTGGCTGGATACTGCCTCCTCAGCTACAGCTGGAACTATCAGCACATCAGTAAGATTTCCAACTTGAGTTCTCTTATTTCAGGCAACTCCCTCTTTGGCAGCAGGTAGAAAGAGTCTTTGCCGTTCATGTGAATTCAAGCTCTGAAATAATTTAAATACTTTGCAGTCAAGGCTAATACCAGAGCTCAGAGAACAGTCTTCTGACCAGAGCTCAGTATTCTGACCTGGCTTAGGGCAGGAATTTAGCTGATAAAGGTGGCAGTAGCTGTTGCTGATTGGCAACTTCTCCCCGCAGAGCACCAGGGACAGTCAAGAGCACTTTTAAACCCTGCACAAGGCAGGGAGAAGAGCTGTTCAGACACCAAGCGCCCATTCCCTGCATTTACTCAGAGCTGATGAGGGGGTTACTGGCGGTTGCGCGGTTTCCCCAGCAGCTCCACAGCACAGAAACAGAGAAGGCTGCAGTCAGTCTCCTGTTTGTTGCTGCTGGGCAAAGCACGCTCCTGCAGTCCCTGAGCGGAGCGCTGCGATAACACAGTTCTGATTGCCTTCTCCTCTTCTTTCTAGAGCGTCATCGCTGGCGTAAATACCACTGAAGAAGTTGGAAGAGCACCCAAGGATCAGTCACGGCCACCTGACTGGGAGGCAGCAGAAGTGCTCAGAGCCAGTGTCCCACCAGGGATTTGAATCAGAGTCCGATTTGCTGTCAGACACAGGTGTGGTTGTTGAGGGGCTGCTTTTCAGTTACCCTCCTGTAGACAGAGGGGTGACCCTGCTGTCACCCGCTCTGTGCCTCTGGCAACGTTTAGTACTGGAAGGGGAAAGCGTTAGAGCTGCCCTCGGGGGTCTGTACGCAGTAGAGCTGTAGTTTGCAGAAGCCCAAATCTCTTCCTTTGGGACACCAGACACGGGACAACTCTTTGACCTGAGCTGCTCATAGGAAATAATTGACATGGAGTCCGAGTGTTTGGCACTAAGGTTTGTGATGGATTGTGGCAAGGTGGGCTTCACCCAAACTGACCATTGCCTGTAAAGCAGCACATTGTGCCCAACACAACTCTTACTTACCCCTCTCCACAGCGAGCACGATGGAGTTTGCCACCAAGGGGCAGGAGAAGAGTTGTCCCTGCAGCCCCTGCTTTGCTGGCTGCGACTGCCTGGGCTGCGAGGGGAGAACCTTTGTGAAAGCATTAAAGCAGCAGCACTCCGACCGCAGCGCCCTATTTCTGCAGGAAGAAAATCCATTGGATGAGCTGTTGTGCCCAAAGGGCAAACCAATGTCTGCATCAGACAAACGAGGACAGTTAGGGGAGCGCTAGTTGTAGCCTGCCGTCACCAGACATGTCTGGAAGAGGGTTGGTCACGTTACAGGCATGAAGGGTAGGGGGAAAAAAAAATAAAAATCTGAACTCTTTATTCAACAAGCAGTGCAGTAGTAGCGTGTCAAAGGTGTTTCACCAAAAGCTCCCTCTTGCTTGCAATAAAAGCCTTTGTGAATTTTCCTTTCCAGCTTGGTACTGTCCATTCTCAAATAATGTGGTTCCTGCCCACCCCTCACGAGGGAATAGCACACCTACGCCCTTACCTGCCCGAGACCCCAGCACAAACTGGTCCCACACCCCTTCAAACCCGTGGCTGCTTGTGCTGCCTTGGTCCGTGGAGGAGGGGAGCGTGTGGAGTCTGGTTTTAGCTGCCTTGCGGAAGCTGCGATTCCTCTGCTGCTGGTGCAGAGCTGTGAGAGCCAGTGCTGAGCAAAACCGACTGGCTTTTCTAGTCCAGCAGCTGCCCTAGCAGCCGTCTCGCTGGCTCCATCGGGCTTTACGGTGTCCTCCTTCCACCATGCGTGCGAGAGCACTCGAGTCGCTTCCCCAGCGGGATTTCCAGCCGAGCCTTCCCACGCTGACTGGCGTAGTGACCTTCCTGTCTGCACTGGGGGGACAGGGGGAGGCAAGCGTTGGTTTTGTGCTGGATAGACCCACTTTCACGTCATTTCTCAGCGGTTGGGCTAATGGAGCCGCGCCTTGTTCCAGTACGGCTCTCACCTGCAAGCAGCACCCCAAGACCTGCTGCAACAAGCCTCTGACTTAGGAGAGGGTCTTGCTGCTCTCCAGGGCTGCTCCTCAGCATGCCAAGTGTTTACTGCCACAAAAGACTTGCAGTCACATTATTCCAACCCAAGCACAGCCTCCTTCCCCACTAGTTCATGCCCCAGCTGCCTGGGGGCAGGCTCCAGTGCTGAGAGACAGCGCCCGAGGTGAAGAAGCTGTTCTGAGAGCGCTCAGCAGAGCCCCTGTGCCACATGCTGCCCCTTGCCACAGCATTTTACCCTCTCTCCAAGGCAAGACCGTTGCTCCCAGGCCTCCCACTCCCCAAACCCTCTCACCTTGATGAAGATGTCTCATTCAAGCAGGTTCTGTGGGCCCGGGGGCAGCTCCTGGTGTCCCACATCTGTCCTGTCAGGTGCTGAGCAGCACTGGCAAGTGGCAGAGGGTGCTCCATGGGTGATGGGTCTCTGCATCTGCTCTCCTCGCCGGCGGCCAGATCCACTTGTGCCAGCCCCCAAGTACAGTCAGCAATCTAGGGGGACATGGGGCAGGAGGGACAGTTGGCAGCTGCTTTCCCACAGGAGCTGGGGTGGAAGGAAGAGCCAGGGGCAGGGACAGCTGGTGCATCACCCTGACAGGCAGAAGCACAGAGCACAAAGGATTTTGGCTCAAGAGAGAATGGCACAGGGGCTTCCCAGCATCACCTTGGGTGGATCCCCGCTGCTTGTTGTCAGCCCAGCCTTGAGGCTACAGAGGGACACAGAGGACAGGCAGTTACTCCTGGGACATGGCAAGCAGTAGCCCCAGATCCCCACCAGGCTCCCACAGCCTCTCAGGGCTGCCACAGGGTCCAGGTAACTGGCACAAGCATCTCCATGGGGACTGGGGCTGGACCCTGCCCACCTGTGCAAACCCTGCAGTCACCAGCTCCAGCTGGACATGGGGAGAGGCCAGAAGGGTTTGGTTACTTCAGACAAGGACCTAAAGCACTCTTGTCCTTGACCCAGGCACCGTAAGGGCTGTGGCCACCTCTGCAGCCACCTTGGAGAGGGGCCTTTCCCCGCTCCCCAGGCCTGCCCGGTACGTACTGAATGAATTTGCACTTGGGGCCTTCCGGGCAGAAGCCGACGAGATAGTTGGCACACATCACCCTCCGCGTGTGCTTGTATCTGCACAGGGCACCTGCCACGCAGAGGAGAGATTCCTGTTTCCGGGGACATTGCATCACCCCCTGCCCAGCTTTCCCCAACAGCCCCAGTCACCTTCAGCTCTGCGGGGTCTTTGCTGCCACAAGTCCAAATCCCCACTGGGCACCCAGTCCCGCTCTGAGGCAGCCCCCGGACAACCCGCTGTGGTTCACCCCCCTCTGGATCGGTCACCTCAGAGGCAGCAGGAGGTTGGACCAGCAGTAGGGTCTGGACACCCACCACCAATAGGTGGGAAATAATGGGCAGTCTCTGCTCACCCCAGCACCCATCCCAGCAGCTCACCGTGCCTGCAGAACCCACGGTCATACCAGGGACAGCGCTGACAGCTGCTGACAGTGGCATCAACGTGCAGGAAGGGACAGTCCTTGCACTCACCTGCGGGAGCAAGGGGTAGGAGAAGGCTCACCCAGACCAAACACGGTGGAAATCACTCAAGGGTGGGCTGAATGGGAGGAATCAAGGTGCCTCAGGCTTTGCCCTGGGCAGGTGCCAGTGGTATTTCTTCCCACAGACAGGAGGTGGCATCAGGTGCTTGCTCGAGGCTAGACCCGAGGGACACGGGTTCTGGGGTGGGAGAGAAATTCTGGGCTCTTCAGCCGGTTCTGCACCTACCAAATTTGGAGGAGAAAGAGCACTCGGGCATCTTGGTCGTGTTGCAATCGTGCAGGAAGTTGCACCCGTCGCCTTTCTTGCAGAGCCCTCGCAGCCAGTGCTTGCACATCACCGTCTTCTCCCCACCAACGTGCTGGAAGGGCCGTTGCCTGCCTGGCCATGGCACAGACCCACTGTCACAACCTCCTTGCACCCCACGGCCCCACTATCACAGCCCCCAGCAGCCCCACCACCACCCGGGAACTTGCCCCAACGCCCCCAGCTCCTTGGCTTGGGACATGCCAGCAGGAGGTTTTGGGATGCCGAAGAGATTTTGCAGCACCCACTGGGTGCATGGGGCTTGGTCCTCCAGGCACTGTCAAGGTCTGGTTGCCCTGGAGGTGTCCAAGCCCTCCCAGCACACCCAAAGGTCAGCATTTCAGGCTGAAACCTGCCAACCCACTGGCTGTTGGGCCATGGAGCAACCCACCATGGATGTGGGCGGGTCACAGAGCAGAGAGGGGCCCTGTCCAGCTCCCTGGCGCTCCCAGGATCTTGCAAGGTAGGGTTGGTCCCATCCCTTCATGGCACTCACCCTTGGTGGAAGAACTTGCAGACGGCCACCTCCAGCTCTGAAGAGGGGAAGCAGGGCAGGGAGAGCTTCCCCCAACGGCCCCAGTGCTGGGACCACCACGCCACAGAGTACAAAAATATCTCAGCCCCTCCCCAAAGCTGCGCCAGAGGTATCCCCTAGGGAACGATGCCAGAAGCCAGCCTGGCAGGAGCAGGGATAAAAAGCACCCAGGCATTGTGGTGGGTGCAGCGAGAGCTAGAACCACCAGCAAGAAGAACCCCAACACCTCCTGCACGCCCGT